CGATGCCCCTGGAGATACAGTGGAGATATTAGCACTCTACTATATGGAAAACATGAAACAATACGTCCAATGCTTTCAACAGTTCACTGCCGAAACCACTGACGTCACTGGAAACGTTGCACATGCACATGTCTTCAATTCAATTCACCAATTACTGTGTTTACATCCGTATTTGCGTACACCTGTCGTTTCAATACATAATTTGATTGCATTTTCCTTTACAGTCAGACATTAAGTCGCAGTTCGTTTTCGTATGCAAACCTTCTATTGAATGTCTCACTTGGCTTGGAGGCATTAACTTACATGTTTACCTTTTACATGCTCACATTAATTCACATATTTCACTTTCGCATTCTAATATCGATTGACTATAATCTTATATATACGAATTAACTGTTTTACATGAAAGTAAGTGTGCTTTATATAAATGTTGTAAATGAAAGATAGATATTGTGTAGTGTAATAAAGCAGGGAACGTAGAGTTAAGAACTTAGTGCATGTGTACAATAGACTGACTGACTGACTGAGTTTGGTTTTACGCTGCTTTTAGCAATATTCCAGCAACATCACGGCAGGGGACACCAGAAATGGGCTTCACACATTGTACCCATGTGGAGATTCGAACCCGGGTCTTCGGCGTGACGAGCCAACAATAGACACAATATAATAATGTATGTACTTGCCGGGGGAGCCGAGCTAGCCAGAGTTTCAGAATCACCGTCTGATGACCCGGTAGGGGATTAGGGATATCTAGCTAGGTCCGAGCCTCAGTAGTTCAGTTTCGCCCACAGAATAAACGGAAGAAAATGCATCCTCTGTCTTGTCCTTCCTTCCAATCGTAAGATATTGACATACTTAAATAGTTCACGTTCATCTTCAGACGATAACCCATTTCTGGTGTCCCCCGCCATGATATTGCTGGAATATTGCTAAAAACGGCGTAAAACCATACTCACTCACTCACTCACTCACTCAGATGATAACTTACCTGATTGACTTTAACCTGCTGGCATGAACGTTCATATTTTACAGAGATGTTAGCTCACATATTTAACTTCACATTCAGACATCAACTTACGTATGTTACATTAAAATACTGACATGAACTTACATATGTTACATTATAATACTGACATTAACTTACATATGTTACATTATAATACTGACATTAACTTACATATGTTACATTAAAATACTGACATGAACTTACATATGAACTTTCACACATAGGCATTAATGAACGTATTTCGTATGCAGATGTTAAATAACGTATTTCCCATTCACATATTAACTAGCAGATCTCACTTTCACATTTACTTTCATATTGGACTTTAACATACTACCCTTAACTCACATAATTCATGATGATCATTCTGACATACAAACATCAACGTTAAAGTTACCTCGAAAAGTTCCCTGTCAGATTCAATCACTTTCATTTTCGCATACAAGCTCTAAGTTACACAATTCATTTCCAGTGGTTTTGTCCCACTAAATAATAGCGTTTTCTCTGTCATGATGTTGTCATCAAGTTCTGAGGTTTTCTTTTCTTGATTGGTATTCTGGATTCTCAGAAGCAAGATCTCAGAGTAAGGTTGTTCTTTCGTAATGAAGTTATCGGTTAAAACAATGATAAATTATTATAGGATATTTATATAACGCACATATCCAGGCAACTAGTGCATGCTCAAAGCGCTGGTATTTTTCCCTCGATCATTGGATGTCAATCTCAACGGCACAACGTATTATCAATCTCAACTCCCTGGGGAGTATACAACTCTTGCAGCCACTAGGAGCACCGAGTTATTATTGTGGCTTTCTCATCTTAACGAGGTACCCATTCACAGTTGGGTGGACTGGGACACATAGTCACAGTACTTTGTGCAAGATCGCTGCACGTTGCTGTACCCGCAACTAGGTGTTTGCACGTATTCATGTGGCCACCATCTGGTCATATACCAACGGATTCGTGGGTTCTTTTAAGAGCACAGGGTTGTGTACTGTACACTAGAGGTTGTGACAACACTGAAAGAGTCTGCACACAAAGTTGACTCCAAGGTTTTTACACCCGGTCACAGGTGGGCTCGATCCCGGCACAGCGTTACGGTCTGTGCACCAAAACGTGAAAGCTTGTGTGCGTGCATCGAATAACGTTTACACAGAAGTTTATGAATGTTCTCTAGGGGTACGGCAAGATTGTGTTCTTTAGTCCGTTCCTGTTCGCAGTTTTCATTGATGATTTATTTTCGACGAAATCACGTCCACTTGTTCAATGGCTTTCAGTTATTCCCTGACTTACGCGAGCTGTTTCTTCTTCTATTTGCCGATGACGCTGTTCTGTTTTCGGAAACACATATATCAATGGACACTTGTCATTGTCAATGGCAATCTGACAGGTCTGCGATACAGGGGCCACAAGTGCAGAAATTTCACTTGGCAGGCACCTTCAAAACTACTTACTCTCAAAGCTAAGAGGGCTTTCATAACTGTTTAGCGCAGTTTGTTTCAGTTTGGAAATATCTCATATCAACTACATTTTAATGTCTTTGACACTAAAATTCTGCAAAATCTATTTTATGGTTCTGAAGTATAGGGTATTCAAAGGTTTAGTGAAATGAAATGGTTGCAAGGTTGTAAATGTTTTCTGGGCATCCTCACATCCACAACTAGTGGGGCGGTGGGGTAGGTTTGTGGCTTCACGCTGAAGACTAGGGTTCAATTCCCCACATGGGTACAATGTGTGAAGCCCGGTTCTGGTGTCCCCCGCCGTGATATTGCTGGAATATTGCTAAAAGCGACGTAAAACTAAACTCACTTACTCACTTCACAACTTATATTATGCTAGATGAAGATACCCAATCTATATCTTGCCAAGTAACCGTTCTATCTCATATTCGTTCAAACACATTTCAGTGCGTCCTAACCGCTATCCATCGACTGACTGACTGACTGAGTTTGGTTTTACGCTGCTCTTAGCAATATTCCAGCAACATCACGGCGGGGGACACCAGAAATGGGCTTCACACATTGTACCCATGTGGGGATTCGAACCCGGGTTTTCGGCGTGATGAGCCAACGCTTTAACCATTAGGCTACCCCACCGCCACCGCTATCCATCAGATGTTATTTTATTTGGTGGAAATTGCAAGTGATGCTAGAATAATAACTGGGCTTTGTTAGTTAACAATACATTGTTTCAACTGGGTCTTGCATATGCACAGTTTTTTTATCCTTTGTTCAACAAAGATGAAACGATTGCTTTCAACAAGAATATTGTCTGGCTCGTTGTTTTATGCCGCCCTCAGCAATATTCCAGCTATATGGCGGCAGTCTGTAAATAATCGAGTCTGGACCAGACAATCCAGTGATCAAAAGCATGATCATCGACATGCCTAATAGCAAAAAGAATGTACTAGGATGTACTAGGAATATTTAAACTGGAAAATATTCGTATTCCGTTTAAACATTTTATGTGTGAAAAGAATTTAACAGTTGTAAATGTAAGGAAGTTAAGAGTATCACAAAGGCAGTAAATATCAAGTTCAGAACATCGTTACGTTTTTCGGATCCAGGTTTATAGTAGTGTCTGTTTTGTCTTCAATCCAATTTAAAAGGTCTTGCCACAGCCTATTTACGTATCTGCATTCAAACATCAAATGAACAATGGTTTCTTTTTCAGCCTTGCAAAACGTACATAGTGGTGATTCTAATATATTAAAGTTGTATAGGTCTTTATTGGTTGTGAGAATTCTGTGGACAATACGATATTGAAACCATCTTTCCTTAGTGTTTTGAAAAGCTCTGAATGGTATAAAATTATAGGTATTCCATAAGTCAGGTGGAAAATTGTGCTGTAGGTCGTTTTCCCATTTACATTGATATCCTAAACTTGGAATAGATTTAACCTTGTTTAGTAGCGTCGTGTAGAAAATATTGCAGCCTTTCTTATTTTCATAGAATATTTTTACACTTGGGGGAATAAAGGGTAAATGTCTTTGCTTTGTCAATATCATAGCTTCTTGCTTTGAATATTGTTTTATTGAAGATAATATTCCCGCATATTCTAACAATTTTGTCTGTACTCTATACATTTCTTTAAACTCAGTGAAAGACAGAAAGGATTCATCATCTTTTAGTACGTTATATATAAATTTTACATTTGCTTTAAAGTTGTGTTCATATAATATAGATTTGTTTCCAATTTTTATGTTGTTATTTGCCCAAATATACTGTTTGCAAAAGTCGGATTTCGTATAAGGGTACCGTTCTTGTAAATCAACCCAAGCTTCCAGAACATCTTTCCAAGAAGGTTATTGTTTACATTGTTATTGAAGATATTGTTGAATTTAGAGTTTGTTGTAAATAACCTTCTTATCCATGATATTTTTTTAGATTTTATAGTTTCTAGTATATCTGGAACTTTCAAGCCGCTTTCTTTATAGTTTCTGATTATCAAAGATCAATTAAAGTAAACGTGCTTGACCCACTCACCCATCATGACAGTTTCTCATTGTACTATAGGACTCAGAAAAAGACAAATGGAATGGATATATAAGGATCAATAGCCGATTGTTATTTTTAAAAAACTTGTGAAACGTACAATCACTTGAAACCTCTTTTATAATTTGCTGATTGTTTTCCTCAAAATTTCGTTTCGGTGCTCTAAGTAAGATCGAACAATATTCTTTCGCTATAATGTAAACAAAATATGATCAGTAGGATGGGATTAATGCAAGTTATTATCGAACCAGGATTTACGGAGTAAAGAGGGAACACCTTCCCCACTAACCCTTCTAAATACTCCACTTAAGAAGAAAAAGTCTACTCCAGTCAAGTGACTTTGTGCAGGTGAGAATGATTGGCGTTGATCACCTTCAGTGATACTGAGACAGGTCTTAACATAACACTAACCACAAATTCGAAAGTTTTATTCCAGTTTTACAGTCACAGTCAATTAATTCGATGTCCGGTAAAGACGTCCCCAACATCCTAGTACAAAGCCAGAAACGTAAAACTCAACAACCAGGATCTTGTTGATGACATCATTCTAGGCACTCTGAGAAAGAAATAAGAAAACAACGTAAACTTATGTGTAGATCCAGATGAAACACACACAGAGAGAGGGAGGGAGTGAGAGAGAGAGAGTGAGAGAGAGAGATATGCAAGGGTACACTCAGTATTGCTCTCACCTTTCTACAGTAGGCTGGGGGATCGAAGATAGAGAGGTCCCTGATGCCAGGGAATATGTTGTTGAAGCACAGGATATGCAAAGAGTTGTCTGGAAAATCACACACTTTCAAGTTAGGAACACAAAACATGCATGTCCCCTTAAGGATCATATTGTGTACACTCATTCCAGTACAATGACGACCCTCCAATGCACACAGGCCCAGGCACGGCACCATCTGACCTATTCCAATGCACAATAACCCAAGTAGAATCTGACCTATATCATGCACAATAACCCAATGTACAATCTGACCTATCCCATGTACAATCTGACCTATCCCATGTACAATCTGACCTATCCCATGTACAATTTGACCTATCCCATGTACAATCTGACCTATCTCATGTACAATCTGACCTTTCCCATGTACAATCTGACCTATCCCATGTACAATCTGACCTATCCCCTGTACAATCTGACCTATGCCATGTACAATTTGACCTATCCCATGTACAATCTGACCTATCCCATGTACAATCTGACCTATCCCATGTACAATCTGGCCTATCCCATATACAATCTGACCTATTCCATGTACAATCTGACCTATTCCATGTACAATCTGACCTATTCCATGTACAATCTGACCTATTCCATATACAATCTGACCTATTCCATGTACAATCTGACCTATTCCATGTACAATCTGGACCTATTCCATGTACAATCTGTACAATCTGGCCTATCCCATGTACAATCTGACCTATTCCATGTACAATCTGACCTATTCCATATACAATCTGACCTATTCCATGTACAATCTGACCTATTCCATGTACAATCTGGCCTATCCCATGTACAATCTGACCTATTCCATGTACAATCTGGCCTATCCCATGTACAATCTGACCTATTCCATGTACAATCTGACCTATTCCATATACAATCTGACCTATTCCATGTACAATTTGACCTATTCCATATACAATCTGACCTATTCCATGTACAATCTGACCTATCCCATGTACAATCTGACCTATTCCATGTACAATCTGACCTACCCCATGTACAATCTGACCTATTCCCTATCCCATCTACAATCTGACCTATTCCATGTACAATCTGGCCTACCCCATGTACAATTTGACATATCCCATGTACAATTTGACCTACCCCATGTACAATCTGACCTATTCCATGTACAATCTGACCTATTCCATGTACAATCTGGCGTATCCCATGTACAATCTGACCTATCCCATGTACAATCTGACCAATTCCATGTACAATCTGGCCTATTCCATGTACAATCTGACCTATCCCGTGTACAATCTGACCTATTCCATGTACAATCTGACCTATCCCCTGTACAATCTGACCTATTCCCTAACCCATGTACAATCTGACCTATCCCCTGTACAATCTGACCTACCCCATGTACAATCTGACCTATTCCATGTACAATCTGGCCTATTCCATGTACAATCTGGCGTATCCCATGTACAATCTGACCTATCCCATGTACAATCTGACCTATCCCATGTACAATCTGACCTATCCCATGTACAATCTGACCTATCCCATGTACAATCTGACCTATCCCATGTACAATCTGACCTATCCCATGTACAATCTGACCTATCCCATGTACAATCTGACTCTGACCTATCCCATGTACAATCTGACCTTCCCTATGTACAATCTGACCTATCCCATGTACAATCTGACCTATCCCATGTACAATCTGGACCTATCCCATGTACAATCTGACCTATTCCATGTACAATCTGACCTATCCCATGTACAATCTGACCTATTCCATGTACAATCTGACCTATTCCATGTACAATCTGGCCTATTCCATGTACAATCTGACCTATCCCCTGTACAATCTGACCTATTCCCTAACCCATGTACAATCTGACCTATTCCCTATTCCATGTACAATCTGACCTATCCCATGTACAATCTGACCTATCCCATGTACAATCTGACCTATCCCATGTACAATTTGACCTATCCCATGTACAATCTGACCTATTCCATGTACAATCTGACCTATTCCATGTACAATCTGACCTATCCCATGTACAATCTGACCTATCCCATGTACAATCTGACCTATCCCATGTACAATCTGACCTATCCCATATACAATTTGACCTATCCCATGTACAATCTGACCTATCCCATGTACAATCTGACCTATCCCATGTACAGTCTGACCTATTCCCTATTCAATGTACAATCTGACCTATTCCCATGTACAATCTGACCTATCCCATGTACAATTTGACCTATCCCATGTACAATCTGACCTATCTCATGTACAATCTGACCTTTCCCATGTACAATCTGACCTATCCCCTGTACAATCTGACCTATGCCATGTACAATTTGACCTATCCCATGTACAATCTGACCTATTCCATGTACAATCTGACCTATCCCATGTACAGTCTGACCTATTCCCTATTCCATGTACAATCTGACCTATTCCATATACAATCTGACCTATCCCATGTACAATTTGACCTATCCCATGTACAATCTGACCTATCTCATGTACAATCTGACCTTTCCCATGTACAATCTGACCTATCCCATGTACAATCTGACCTATCCCCTGTACAATCTGACCTATGCCATGTACAATTTGACCTATCCCATGTACAATCTGACCTATCCCATGTACAATCTGACCTTTCCCATGTACAGTCTGACCTATCCCATGTACAATCTGGCCTACCCCATTTACAATCTGACCTATCCCATGTACAATCTGACCTATCCCATGTACAATCTGACCTATTCCATGTACAATTTGACCTATTCCATGTACAGTCTGACCTATTCCAGGTACATGTAAGTTGTGATCCACACTTACTTCCGGGACGCAGGACCATGGTTGTACTTGTAACAGGCACGCAGTTCCCGGAGCTGACAAGGGCAATGGTGTTCTTAGACTCATCTCTCGTGTCACTGAATTGGTATGCTATGGTAGATATGCTGTCCGTGCCATAGCCGTAGTCAGCCGGACCCAGCTCAACAGCGTCGCCTGAAGTGCAAACAATCTTTTAAAAAACGCTCAGTAGGCTTCCCAAGTCAGCGACATGGAGAAATAAAATTAAAACGAACCTAATTCCAGAAGGATCTCACAAGTCAAGAGTGCCTGAGCTTTAAAATTAAGAACTGTTTTGGGCTCCTTGTGATATAATTTATTTATTTTTTAAATGCATATTTTAAACAACAGATAACTGTGACTATGTGTAAATCTTCAATTCTGGCAAGGAATGAGTGAGTGAGTGAGGTTTTACACTGCTTTTTGCAATATTTCAGCAATATTTCAGGGGGACAATAGCTCAATTCAGTGGGTATGGTTTCAGAAGTGGGCATGGCAATATTCAAGCAATACAGTAGAGGGACACTGTCATGTTAACTCATTGTCACTTCCACAGTGAAAAGATCTGCCGGACCTTATGGCTGAAAGCAAGATTCTGGGTTAGAGTATGTATCCAGGAGTACAGTGAGTATAGCCTTACGCAGCTTTTAGCCCATGTACAATCTGACCTATCCCATGTACAATCTGACCTATCCTATGTACAGTCTGACCTATTCCCTATTCCATGTACAATCTGACCTATTCCATGTACAATCTGACCTATCCCATGTACAATTTGACCTATCCCATGTACAATCTGACCTATCTCATGTACAATCTGACCTTTCCCATGTAAGTGGGCATGGCTGAAAGCAAGATTCTGGGTTAGAGTATGTATCCAGGAGTACAGTGAGTATAGCCTTACGCAGCTTTTAGCAATACTCCAGCAATATCACGGCGGGGGACACCAGAATTGGGCTCCACACATTGTACCCTTGTGGGGAATCGAACCCGACTCTTCGACGTGACGCATTCAGCGAAAACTTTAACCACTAAGCTACCCCACCAGGTCTCCAGGAACCTCTGTTTGTGGCTACATCTATCTGTGGTTAATCTCCATGACGACGTTGATTGATTGCTATCCTACTCCAACGTTGAACATTATACTAGTTCGGTTCGGCTTAAACAACCATCAAAAGAAAAGATGTGGCTGTCATACAGTAATAAGTGAAAAAAAATTCATTGATGCGCGAAATTCCGTCACTCACTCGTGTAATCTTACAAAGTTACACTGTAATGGTTGTTAAAAGTCTCACTCGGAATGCAGTTGGCAGGGAATGTCCCCGTCACAGCGAATGCCTCACAAGTTTGCTTCTCAGTGTTGATGCGGAAGCCAGTCCCCTGGAATGATGAATCAATCAAACAATGAAAAATCAATCAATCGATCAAATTAATCAATCTGGTTACCAACAATACCAAACATCCAACCAACCGGACGGTCAGTGCTGATGAAGAAGCCAGTCCCCTGGAACAAACCAGCCAAGCAATCAATCAGGTCATACCAACAGTATCAAACATCCAACCAACCAACCAGTCAGCCAGCCAGCCAGCCAACCAGCCAACCATCTAACCAATCAATCAATGAATCAATCAGTCAGGTCCTACAAAGCCAAACATCCAACCAACCGGACAAACCAACCGGACAAACTAACCGACCGCTCAGCGTTGATGAGGAAGCCAGTCCCCTGGAACCAACCAACCAATCAGGTCATACCAACAATACCAAAGATCACTAAATCAAACCATCCACTCATCCAACAATACCAAACATCAAACCAACCAGGCACACCAACCTTCCGCCGATCAATATTGCACAGTCCTGTGGATATACAAGCTTTCAAAAAACAATTCCCACAACCTCAGAGACGACATAGCATGCGTTTGTGATGAAAAGTGCCTTCGAGACACTCATTCGCTGCTTTGAAATATGTTGCCTCACCTTACCGTAGTCCCAGATTTCCTTGTAGGAGCTGACAAAAGAAGTGTAGTTGCCGCTGATGGCGTACCTTTGGTTGATGGCGTCATAGGAATAGCTTTGCAGGTACTGAATACAGAAGAGTCAGGATTAGACATGATTAGGTATGATTAGCAACGATAGGTTCTTAAGTGTTCAGGACTGACTCAGATATATTGCAACGGTTTAGTCTCTGTTCGCCTTCAACCCATATCGCATACAAAAACAATGTAGGCTAATTAGGATTAGAAAATGCACTCCTATAATCTTATAACGAGCCTGGCTGAGGCGACTGATGGCGTATGTAAATAATCCAGTTTGTGATCATGAGCAACGATTCACGTCGTGGAGGTAGGAAGCAAGTCATACCACCTGAACGACCATTCTACCAAATCGTCCCTTACAAGCATAAGCTCCTGAAAATCAGCTTCACCTCATCACCGGAATTCTTTCAGGGTGGAAAAGATGAAACAAACAAGGCGTCAGACATTATTTGAAGCACGTCTTAGAGTGAGTGAGTGAGTGAGTGACAGCAATATCATGCGGGGGACACCAGAAATGGGCTTCAAACATTGTGCCCATGTGGGGAATCAAAGCGATTTAACCATTATAGGCTACCCCATCGCCTAGAAGACTCCAACTTTGATGAAACCAACGAGCACCATATGATCAATTCCAACGAAAAGTGTACACAGCTGGGTACAATGTGTCCAAAATAGAATTGCTTGCACCTTGTAATTCTTTTTGCCAATGTTAAGTCAACATATTTGTCTCTTATGAAAATCAGTTGCCATCACTAATCTCTAAAAGTGACAAGCTGGTGGATCAGTGAAGTTGAAGGCTCATTTTCTAAATTACCTACAAATACCAACATCATACCTTGTATATCCTGTGATTAGATGGGTTTTATGTTGCCTAACATCCAAATTCACTGTTGTTTTGCATGCACAATATGTTAATAACTATATAAAATCTGAAGCAATATCATGGTTTCTTTCATGTTTTATAACCTCAAGCTTTACGAAAATAGAACCATTTTGGTATCTTTGTTTGATGTAAGTGAGATAGCACCACTCAGTGTTCTCTTCACAAACAAATCATTATTACATATCTATCTTCTTCATCTGAGAGACAACGGGTGGAACTTTCGGTAAGTACAACAAATTTGAAAATGCATCAATAACTAAATTTTGGGTGGAAGATAAAAAAATGTACTTGTAAGTAACAAATATCACGTAATTCCTTGTATTTCATAAATGTTTATATATGTCAAACTAAATCGTAGCTGGTTTATTAAAATATCGAACAGTTTGGAAATTGTTTTGTAAATGCATAGGGAATGTGAATGAAGATTGTTTATAACCAGTTTAAGGCTTTCTCTTTGTTTTGTCTCAGTGCATGTCGTAAAGTAGCAATGCATTTTAACTGATGGAAATATACTTCTCATCAAAAGTTTAGACTCACAAGAAACACGCACTATATGGTGTGTGTGTGTGTGTGTGTGTGTGTGTGTGTGTGTGTGTGTGTGGTCACATCGAAGATTGATTTCTCCACTAACTTGGGAGAACCAACTGCAAACATTATGCAGATGAATTGCACGAGGAACAAGCATCAAATTGCTGAAAAGCATGTGCAAATATTGTACATGTGAACAGCTGCGTTTTGGTGTAAGGTTTTGTTCAGACTTCGCCAATTTTCAATGATTTTTATCATTTATTGAACTCATGACAATAATCCTTTCAACGTTACAAATTTGTTTTACAATACATCAGTTCATGTGTCAACAGTACCTTTAAACAGTATGGAATATTTTGTAAAATTTAGTTTGAAACAGTCGCCTGAAGTAAGTGGCTATATTTACACTAGTGAGTCTAAACTGTTGATGAGAAGCATAGAAATTGAACTAAAATCATTACATCTGAAATTTTATTTACCAAATGTTTCAACTGACATTTGCATTCAAAGAAAGCACATCACAAATGTTCAAAACGCTTGAACTATTACCATATACCATATACCATTATGTACAGATAAACATGTCACTAAAACAATCAATACATTATACGTCTTACTGAACTATAACTCTGCTTTAATTACCCATATGTTGCAATGACAATTGCTATTAGACAGACATTTGCAGAAAGTTTTAACTACAAAAACGAGCTACCTACGAATAAGACATACTTTTGACAAATCTAATTACTAAACCCATGCAACTTACTTCTACTACAGTCTCAATTCTCCTATGTTCGCAAGTGCATCGGTGACAGCCCTGAACAAGACATACTTCAAACACACTGACTGATGTTACCTACAAATTCGGAATGTTACCAACGAATACACATGTTACCTACGAATCTACCGTTTATCCCGTGATATCATGCAAACTTTTACTTTTATCACCAAGATCAATTTGTTTTCTAACATTTCAATCAAAAAGAATTAATTATATATCACTATAATAAAGTCTAAACCACGAACTGCAGTGCATCCCTGCATAGAACATTTTTATTGAACCCTCAGTTATGTAGCCATTTGGAATTCCAAGGAACCATTTCAATCTATTAATAGGCAGTACTGCGTACCTAATCAGTTTTATGATCTGCAATAATTGCCTTCAGTGTAAATTATGTTATAGCAGCGTATTGTGTTCTCTATTTCATTTTGTTAACAACGAAGACAGACAGACAGACGGACAGGTTGTTTACTATAGTCTCACCTCGTTACAGACATTTTGATAAAAACGTACATACATAATATATACATGATAAAAAACTATACATCACCTAAGACAATATAAGCGTAAAAGTAACGAGCCACCCTGTACAGAGTTACGAGAGACTTTAAAATTATAACATCTATAAAAACATTCAAATGTTAAGAACTGCAGTCACTCTATAAACTATCCTTTGATAAAGAATTACCTAAAAGTTTTAAAAGAAATCAATGAAATAAAATCTTATGACGCTTACGAAGAATATTATTACACGTTTTGGCACTCTGGGCTATAACATTAGGTGATGAGAGCATAAAACCAACTTTCTGAATGTCATCTAAGTTATTAAAATCCTCATTTATCACAGAACAACATGACAGTAGGTTACGTCTTTCCTCTTCATACACTGTACATCTTAACAAAACATGTTTCTCATCTTCAACTTCATTGTTGCATAGAGGACATAATCTCTCACTGTACGGGGTGTCGGTGTAGCGTCCGGTCTCTATATTTATGGGCGCAACTCCGCTTCTAAACTTGGCTAATGACGATCTGTGGCTTCTGGGTAGCTCTGCTGTGACATAAAGCTCTACAGTGAATGCGTTCTTAAAGGTTCTGTACGTTCTCAACTTATTTCCGCCCTTTCCATTACTGCTATCCGATCTTGAGACGTTTCTTTCCCAGTCAACCTTGAAAGTCTCAAACATCTTGGTGGTAATACTGTTCACAACATATTGTTTTCCATGAAGATGTTCAATGTTGATAATGTGACCCATATGTAGTTCGCTGAGTTTTTTTAGGTATTCTGAAAGCCCAATTTGTTTTTCTTCTCGTAGACCACTGGTAACACCACTTAAATATTATTTAAATGTTATCTACGAATGCCGTGAGCCACAACCGGTGAAATCCCAGCGGGACACCATGCCTTACCAATTTGAGCCCCCGTGTCAATTCCACTTGCAGTCTGAGGCCTTTTTCACAATAATAAGACTTAAAACCTCACTAAAATTAAAGTGGGTTAGTTGTAACAGGTGTCATATGCATCCTATGTTATTGTGACATGGGTTTATTTATATAACATTCTTACAGAAAATGTGAAATACACTTACTAATCACCAATATGTTGTCTGGTCTCATCTATGATGACTTCCAAATAGAACACATGTCACGTGTTGTCATTCAACCAATCTATTTGAATGTGATCAGTTGTTGGTACTTGTAGGTAACATTTGGGAGTTAAAATCTACTTACGAATACAGGTTATTTTGTGTGATATCTTCGTAAAAACAGCACAGAAAATGTTCAGATGTAGCACACGTATATATTGTGGTCCTTTGCACTTGAACTTAGGATATCATTCACTAATGTGTTCATTTGTGGAAACAGCAACATATTTAATGGTATTTATAGGTAACGTGATTTTTTTTACCAAATCAGACTTTGATTTTCTAACATTTTTTCAGATTATTACCTGTGAGAAATATTATGTAACGCCATTGCATTTGAGTACTTTACAAATTAATGCTGTAAAAAGTAATACAAAACATAACCTTGTGTTGCATTTACATAAATTGACAGTGTCATTGAAAACTGTATTCGTAGGTAACGCAAACAAATACCACTTGAAAACAAATTACCAAAATTACGAATTAAGCCCTAGACAAAATCATTTCAGGGGATTTATTCACGAAATATTTGGCAATTAGATTAATAAACTTCTGTTCATCCAATTTGACTAGTATTTAACACACAACATGTTTTAAACAAAACATTTGTAAAATAAACGTCAAAATGAATAAAAAGGCCTGTTTTTGTCTCTCATAAGTCTAATTTTTAATTAAAAATAGTCATGTTATATATGGCCCGAATCGTCTCACTTGTGCCGATGTTTGGCACCCTGAAATAAATGAAGGTAGTAATGCTAAAATGTTATGGGCCCAAACATGCTGTGTACACTTTTCGTTGGAATCGACCATATACTCCAGAACAAAAACAGGAGGCACCTGTGTCGGGTGGGGTGATAGCCCAGTGGGTACAGCGTTCGATCGTGACTCCGAAGACCCTGGTTCGATTCCACGCATGGATACAATGTGTGATGTCCATTTTTGGTGTCCCCTTTCGAAATATTGCTGGATAGTTGAAATCTGTACTTCTTTCGGGCCAAGGTAAAGTTGACTGACCTTGTGGTCAGAGGATGGCATTCCAAGTGTCGTACAACAATCCTGGAGTGGATATCAGTGATGTATCATTGTCCATTCAGATTGTGTCTGATAGTCACAAAGTCAGGTTAACCTCAGCAACCCCTGCCAATCGTCACTTGCTCCAAGATGATTCGTTGTGTTTCTGCGACGTCAAGCACAAGCTGGACCATCAACCATGAACAAGAGAAATAGATTCCAATTCCTGTGAAGGCAAGTTTGACGCTAAAATTGTCTTCCTTTGTGCACCGATGACAACAACGTCTGACTATACCCGGACGATTTTAGGCATTTTCCGACCGTTTTGTTGGACAAACGACAATGTGGAAGCCACTCTGGTTTTAACCATTTGACATTAAGGGATGGAGGCTGGGATTGTGAGAAGAGAATACTCAGGGGAAGACCTTCACGTCATTAGTTTGCTGATATCCACTTAAAAGAACCCACGAATCCGATGGGATATGACCAGGCGGTGGCCACATGAGTACGTGCAAACACCTAGCTGTGGCTACAGCAACGTGCAGGAAAACTTGGACGAGGTAATGTGACTATGTGTCCCAGTCCACCCAGCTCTGAATGAGTACCTCGTAAGGATGGGAAAGCCGGAAAACTCTGTGCGCCTAGTGGCAGCAAGAGTTGTATAATTCCCGGTGAGCTGAGATTGATAATAAGATGTGGCGTTGAGATTGACATCCAATGATCCAGGGAAAAAAATACCAGCGCCTTGAGCATGCACTAGTGTGTGGATATGTGCGCTATATATCCAATAATATTAATAATAATAATAATAAAGAATTAACGAAACTTGATATTTGCTTATGACGTGTACACGCATAGCACGCGATGCCTGCCTTTGATCGAAGGACGTGCACATGTAAAATTACTTTATGATGCACCCGACCGTTAAAAATAATCGTGGAAAAACTATATTTATAATACGAATATAAATGGCTCTATGCGGGTAACAAGTCATGGGTGTTGCGATACTTTTTTTCCATGTGTATACGCTGTGTCTGACATTCCGTTGGGAGGAGTGGTGTGCTTTATATTAAGACTTGAGAGTTCGAGGGGCTTCGGTCGTGTTCTGCCCCACAGAATATTAGAGAGATCGGGTATGTACTACATGGTCCAGATTCCGATATGTTTTACCTCAGAAAGCATCGTACAATTTTCTAGTGTTTTGGTTTTCATTTGTGTATAAGAGGAGCTGACTGTGGCCTCTCATTTCACAGTACATATCAAGCCACAAGAAGACCAGCATTGTATGTGATGATCGTTATACCCTGGATATTGATTCATGTCAGTGAGTTTAGTTTTACGCCGATCTCAGCAAAATTCCAGCTATATGGCGGCAATCTGTAAGTAAACGACTCTGGACAGACAATCCAGTGATCAACAGCATGATCATCAACCCTAGCAAATGGATACAATGACATGTGTCAGCTAAGTCAGCGAGCCTGACCACCCGATGCCACTCTTACGACAAGCACTGGTGCATGAAGATCAATTCTAAGCCGGATCTTCACGGGTAGTGATTTATGTTGCTGAATAGTACCACCATGTGTCTTTGTTGTCATAATCAATACTCTTGTATCACATTACGTTTGAATCTGCATCTCCATTTTGTACTGTCTGAGAGATACCTTTGAACTGACTTGTCAACTTAGCTAATTTTAGAGTGAGGTAATGAGGTTTTCCTCATCATAAAAACACATGGTAAATGTTCGAATTATCCATGCTCGACACAACCAATAAAGTGATATTTTCAAAACCAATGTTTAGGAGAGTCTCATTCAACAAATATAATCATCTTTGTTGTCAAACCACATATATATGTAAACGATGATGCTTCTAAAATGAGCACCGTCCTGAAGTTCTTCAGGTTGGATCTCCTGCCAGAGAGTTACGTCTTCTCATTGATTACTGGGTGTGGAAGTCAACTTTGTAATAGTACTTACCCGCTCTACCCCCGAGGGATCGAATGTGGTAATAGCTTTAAACCCTTCCCACTGCTGAGGAGCACAGCAGATAGAAGCAAGAGCAACCGTCGCCAGACTGGCGAGTAAAACTGCCTGCAGCATCATGTTGAGGAGTCGTCAACCTTTGCAAACGTCAAAACCTTCTGTGGTGTGCAGGGTGAACACGGGCTTCGCTTTATGTACAACATCAGCATCCGTCACGATCACATGACCCCTGGATGATCTTGAGGGTTGCGTAATTCATCGCAAGTTTAAGTACTGTCAGACCACAAACTGCATTCGTGGAAAATAATGGTCTTTTTATAGAAATGCTTGTCACCGCCTTTGTACATACTCAGCTGGACGCCTAAGGTTGGTACTACAGAAAGAGATATATTTCCTTATGAACACAATTGAATTTGACAATAAAAAAGAAGAAACGACCATTCCTTTTGGATAACCACATTTTATTCTAAAAGTGAGTTAAACAACGTTAACCGTCTTTACAAATTTTACCAATACTGAATCGAACAGGGCTTCTGCATAGGCGGATCCAGAGGGGGTGCAGGGGGTGCATAGAACAAATGTACTTTTTAAAATCAAAACACAACGTCTCATTGTACGATCCAAAAGGGGAAATCAAGTACAATCTTTCTTGGACTTGAAAAAAGTCGTCAAAACACCTGATACCATAATAATCGACAATAATGGTAACATACTTTATTCACAGGAAAATATACCAAAAGAAGTTTTCATAAATAAATTACAAACAAAACATAACGTAACAGGTATAAACTTGAGTTGGTGAGTGAGTGAGTTTAGTTTTACGCCGCTTTTAGCAATATCCAAGCAATATCACGGCGGATGACAGCAGAAATGGGCTGCACACATTGTACCCATGAGGGGAATCTGACCCGGGTATTCGGCGTGACGAGCGAACGATAACCACTAAGCTACCCCACCGCCCCAGGTATTAACTTGAATGAACAAGACAATTAGCAGGTTCCAAAATTAAACGACACATTTCAGCGAAAGGTGGACCGAAATATGATGACGTTGTTGCTTCCCTGAACTGTTTAAATAATTGCAAGAGGTCCGGTCTTTATAATTTCACTGAATTTCTGAAATTCTTTTGGATGAGTGAGTGAGTGAGTTTAGTTTTACGCCGCACTCAGCAATCTTACAGCTATATGGCGGCGGTCTTTAAATAATCGAGTCTGGACCAGACAATCCAGTGGTCAACACCATGAGCAATTGGGAACCGATGACATGTGTCAACAAAGTCAGAGGGCCTGATCACCCGATCCCGTTAGTCGCCTCATACGACAAGCATGGGTCTAACCCGGATCTTCACAGGTGTAGATAGTAGGAAATTTTAAGAAAGACAAACAGAAAGGGTGAATTATCAACATCACTGAAGCTGGATCTTATTACCTGCATGTCCAAGCATGCGGTGGGGTAGCCCAGTGGTGAAAGCGTTCGCTCGTCACGCCGAGGACCCGGGTTCGAGTCCCCACATGGATACAATGTGTGAAGCCTATTTCTGGTGTCCCCCGCCGTAATAATGTTGGAATTTTTGCTAAAAGCGGCGTAAAACCATACTCACTCACTGTACTGCATGCCCTAAGGTGGCAAAGCAAAAAACATTAATTGTCAAAAAGGCGTCCTATGTCTCTCATACCGGTATTGCATAGAGTCGCATCACTGACAATATTTTTAAGAATCAGACCAGTCCCTGATTTACTGATAGGCGAAGACCAAAACTCACTCACTCACTCACTCACTCCACAAAAGGCGACTATACTTGTCGTAAGAGGCGAGTAACGGGATCGGGTGGTCAGGCTCGCTGACTTGTCACATGTCATCGGTTCTCAATTGCGCAGATCGATGCTGATGCTGTTGATCACTGGATTGGCTGGTCCCGACTCGGTTATTTACAGACCGCCGCCCTATAGCTGGAATATTGCTGAGTGCGGCGTAAAACTAAACTCACTCACTCACTCTCGAATACCTTCAACAGCAGTACTCTTTTGTAGATATGACGGATCTGATCTCCCTCTACACGCAGTATCACAAATACTCAATATTTTCCCACCCTTCTCTTGACTAAACGTAAACATTGAAAGGCTTTTTTCGTATTGGCTTCCGTGTCCAAATTAGACGTTCAAGAAAACATTGTGTTTCGTTTGCAGATTAAACATATTTTATTTAAGTTGCCTTTTACGGATTCATTTTAACCCATACGTTAAGACCCTCAAACGTTTTTCGCAGGAGCACGTGAAGAATGTGCAAATTCTTGAAAGTATGAAATCCACATGAAGGGCCAAACGAATGGTCTTATGGGCCCTTACTAAGCTCATTGATTCTGGACATGCGCACTGCACGCTTCGTATTTCGAAACAGTATCACGTGCAAAACGTGCAAGTTCGTGCCGACAAGGTTAAGAAACTATGAAATGCATTTGAAGGGCCAAACGAATGGTTCGATAGGCCCTTACAAAGCATATTGATTGTAGACATGCGCACTGCTCGCTGCAAATGATGATTATATGGAGAAGTATGTGCAGTGTGAATGACCCTCCTAAGATTTATGTACAAAGTAAGTGAGCTCCCTGCATGTCATGTACAAAATCAATGACGCCCCACTCTCCCTAACAGATGTGTACAAAACTGATGACCCGTCCACCTCCCTAGAACAAAAATGCCCCCCACCCCCACCCCTACCCTTCGCCATAAATTATGAACGGTCCCCAGAGAAAAGAGAAAGGTTGATTTAGCAGAATCGTTGCGTAAACTACCGTGTACACGACGATTACACCGACAGATATAAGAAGTTTGTGTTTTGTTTATTTATGTTCTTAAGTATTTATTTTCGGTCTACTACTTAAACAGACATATACTGTGCTTTATGTGGTACAATGTGTGAAGCCCATTTGTGGTGTCCCCTGCCGTTGTATTGCTGGAATATTGCTGAAAACGGCGTAAAGCCGTAAGCCTACTCGTTCATTACTGACATTGACTGTGTGAATGTTTTGAGGGTGTGCGGGATTTAAGTTTGACCCCCGTCAATGTAATCGTTAATTTATGATTGCACGAAATGCTATTTTAGTTTCCACCTTGATTGACAATTCTAGCACGACATGGTGTGATACTCGATTCTGATTGGCTGAGAGTTCATCAAAACCGTACATAAATGGCAGTTTAAGACCGCTAATGAAAGTGACCGATTCACCGCGTATGGATACAACGAACTCGTTGACCCTATTGTTTGTAAACAAACATGTCGGACATCGGCAATTTCTACCTCGGCAGCATCTTTGGTGTTTTTGAAGTAAAAAGCGAATGGTATGAAGAATTTCTTGACCCTAATCCCAGTGAAGAAACTACGAAGCTGGAAAATCCGTCAGCAGCGCAAAAGCGGCAGTATATTCAAACCGGGTCTAGATCTAGCGGGCATGACGTCGACAACGCGCGTCGGCCCACACGTCCTAACCTGACCGCTTCTGTCCCGGCCATAATGCCCAGTCCTTCCACTTCCACGTGGCATGTCAGGTATTTTCCTAATTGGAAATAGTAGGGTGGTTATCAACAATTATTTCCGTGAATAAAGTTAGCGGCGACTAAACTTAGCGAGTTCACGGCTTGAATTGGGGTGAGTCGATTGTCATACAGTAGGGGAGATCAATAAATCGCTTTAGAAACATCAAATAATTGTACTTGCTCACAGTATAAACTGGGTTTTTTATTATTTGTGTATGTTACTTCTTTCAAATACAAGCATACTGGTACCTGAAATGAAGCATTTATGTTGTTGAAAATGTCTTATTTTGTTAATTACACAACCTGTCCCTAAACGGGACGATTCCAAGCGATTTCCTCAAAAAGGCCCCTTCACGCCTTGTGTTCTTGCGCGCCAAACAGTTCTGTTTTAGAACGCTTATCAGTCGTGCTGACGCGTTCGGTTTTTAAATTACATTTAGCGGTCTCAAATCAACGATAAAGGACCGCAAAATTGAAAACCGAGTAGCTTTATCTTCTAATTTCAATGACAGCAGGGACAAGTTCTTTTCATTTATCACGGAGATCAAACTCTCTTCCCCTGGTGATACGTTTCTAAACAAGTTCAGTATATTTTAGTCATTTTACAAATTGATAGAAAAATGTGTCCTATTTAACTAACAATCATTCAGACATTAAGAAAGGCTACACTATCATCCAAAAGATTATGCCAGGTTTGGAAGTCAGCTTATATAAAATTATATTGGCTGGTTTTCGTTTACTTTTAATCCTAACAGTATTATTCAATGGGAGAAGTAAAACAGAAATGTTGGGAATTCGTTATTAAATATTCCAGGAGATTTGGAAAAGTAATTTATTGTGTATATGAATTAGTGTAAATCAAGAAGTCAGTATTGGATAATAAAAATAGTTATGGACTAAGATATAAAAAAATGTCCATATTGACAAAATGTATACACATGTAATAGAAACAATATAGAATTTGGGGATAACTTCATGTTCTTGTTTGTATATGATCAAAATGTGTGTATTTGTTATTTCTACTCTTTAAGCCTTCAGACAAACATGAGGAAAGGTGGAAATGCTCCACAACACGAATGTGACACGTCTGTTTTCTGACTTGACACATTCAGGGACCTCATTCACCTTATTTTCAACGCTATTTTACTGTTTAATAAGGAGATAAACATCATGTGTTGGCGAATTTCCGGTTGTTATTGAGTATTTGAAGCACGGGAATTCATTTGGAACCGACGGCGTCAGCCGGAGGTTTCAAATGAAATATTCCCGTGCTTCAAATACTCAATAACACCCCGGAAATTTTCCAACACATGATGTTTATCGACATTGTAAACACAAAAGTAAACTAAAAGGTCCACTCACGTTTTTTGTGTCTGCACTCATTGACATCGAGTACGGGTACAGCAGTGAAATGTCATCAGCCGGCCGTTTCGGCTGTCTCCCATGGTAGCATATGGAACTGCTGATTTGTGACCTCATTCGGACTTTACGTCACAATATGATTCTAATGACGTCATCACAGCTGACGACGTAACAATACAATGGTGTGAGCGATGTTTGTATGTATTAATACGCAGAGAATTTCCGGGAATCATTTTTTGGCAATAGC